TTCACCAAAGATTCGCATCATCGCAACATCACGGTGCTGTATTTGACGCAAGATTTATTCCCGCCGGGCAAATTTTCCAAGACCATCAATCGCAACGCGCATTACATTGTGGCCTTCAAAAACCCCCGGGATCAAACAGGGATACGGACGATTTTATTGCAAGCCTTTCCGGATCGGTGGCGTCAAGTCTTGCGCCTATTTAAACGCATCACGTCCCGCCCCTTTGGCTATTTGATGTTGGATGTGCATCCAGCGTCGGATGATCGCTATCGCCTGTGGAGTCATTTAACGCCTCGAGAAGGCAAAGCGCAAGTTCACACCTTGCGGGCGGATGTCCCTGCCGTTCGACAACGCCCTGCAACGAGAACTCGCCAGGGTCCGCCGGCAAAGAGAAGGCGGACAACATACTGAGTTAGCCGCTCGCATGGACACACACTCGCCCGCCGGGGTGGGCTCCTCTACAGCCCCACCACCCCAAGATCTCAGCAGCATGACGGACATGGTGACCGAATTGTCTCGACCCGTGGATCGTGCCCAATTGGAGCAAGACATTGACGATTTCAATTTGACCTACCCGGTCAATGTAGACGATGCCTTGAATGCGTTTACGTTACCCCCCGTGGCAGGCACTGGCACTGCCCCCGCCACCACCACGGCACCTCCACCCGCCACTACCACCACGGCCGCCCCAACCCGTCCCACCACATCCACCCGAACTCGTCCCACCACGACTACTACCACCACCACCAGTCGACCACGACCCGTCACGTCCACTCGAACACGCCCCACCACCACCGCCACGACCACCACCGCCCCCTCCCGCCCCTCCACCAGCCGCCGCAGCGTCGGGGCAGGCACCAGGACCACGACCTCCACGGTGACCACCCCCACTGGACGGCCCACCATCGCTGCCAAACAACCGAGACGGCGCCCCAGGGTGCCCTCCCCACCGTCCCCCGATTCGTCCCCTCCGTCCGAGGATGAGGATGGCGATGATGATGATGATGAACGACGGCGAGGATTAAGGCGACGGTTGGATTTGCTCAATGAAGATGCTCAAGAACGGGCACGAGGTCGACGCATCCGTAACATCACGCACACCAATACCGTGACTACAGTGTATGAAGAGGGGGGTCGTCCCTCGGTGCGCCGCACGTCCACCCGAACCTCCAGCCCAAGTCCACCCAGACCACCACGCCGAGGACGGGGCCGTGGCCGTGGCCGAGCACGCGGACGGGGCCGAGTCCGTGGACGAGGCCGTAGTATATAAAAACAAGGGCCTCCCTTTCATCGTTCCAAAAATGTGTGGTGAATGTCGACACGCCATGGCTCCTCGACGCAAACGCAAACGCTCCACAACTCGACGACCCGCCAAACGACGACGACGGCGTGTGAGTCAAGTCGGGGGTGTCGCGGTTAGCATGCCCCTAGGGATTCTCAAAGCTGGTTATGGGATCACCAAAGCCATCGGGGATCATCAAACCAAGCGGGCCATTGCCATTGGTGAAAAACGTCGACGGGAAGTGGCTTCAGGCAAACGGAAAAAATACGCGGGGGAATCCTTTAATTGTTCCATCATGTAAAAAACTATAAAAGACTAAAGGTGCGTCCTCCATCGGACAGATCATCATGCACTGTGGTCCACGACGACGAAAACGACGCCGAAAACAACGAGGGGGTATTCTCCCACTTCTCATCCCCGCGGCGGTTGCTGCCGCTGTCCTCATGAAAAAGAAGAAAAAAAAGAAAGTGGGCAAGATCAGTGCAGCCAATCAACGACTGGCCCAACGACGGGTCCAGCGGATGTTGAGACGCGCAAAGGGATGGGATTTCTAAGCTCCATGCACGCTATAAAAGAAACGCTTGTTGGACACACGATTCCCATTAAGGATGGTCCGTGGACCCAACGGTCGCCGACATCGTTATGTCCCTCGAAAACGACGCCGACGACGTGGTTTGCAACGCGGCGCTAAGCTCCCGCTTTTGGCAATGGCTCTCTCGCCTTTGTGGCTCAGGAAATACAAACCCAGAATTCGTGTTCGACGCCCAGACTAACCCTCAACGCAAAGCCGTCACGTTCGCGTTGGATTGGAACGACCAGTATGAAGCGGCTTTGTGTGCACGGTGTCGACATCACATGCAACGGCATTATCATGGCGAATTGTGTGGTCGGTGTGGCGCCATTTTTACCATAAATAGACCTTGGTCCCTGCCTGAACTCAAGATTCATCATGGGGTGGCGCATGGAACGTCAAGCCCCGTTCTTAAAAAGTGTCTTACAAGAAGCCAATCAACACAAACGACAAGAATTGTTGCGGATGGCCAATGCGGATCAGATCAATGCTGTCAGTGAATTGGTGATGAACACGCTGCGTGGCACAGTCCCCCGTTCCCGACAGACCATCACACTGCTTAAACCTCACGCACAGAGTTTACGCGCTATGGCCAAACCCGCCCATTCCGTCAAACGACGACGCGCTATCATGATGGCTCAAAAAGGAGGTGCCCTCTGGCCGGAACTCTACCGATGTTATAAACGTTGCATGCGCTAGACCAGACTCCTCAGTTGCACCATGGAACCCGAGATGGCGAGCACCACGGTGAACAACGCCCCGGCCTTTTTACAATTACGTGACCAGTACAAACAAGAATTGGTGGAAGATACCCGCTTGACCAAAGCCGCGGATTTAGCGGCCAAACAACATGTGCTGTTGACCAGTGAGGCCCCCGATGCTTGGAAACGGCCTCAACTCAAAGCCGTCAGCCGTCAATTACGCCATTGGACCAAAAAAGTGCGCCAACCGTTTGGAGCCGCCGCGGGAGGTGTGACTGCCGCAGGGGCCACGACGCCGGGCGACGATGATTTTGAGGCGGGCCCCATGCAAGCCTGGTTTACGCAATTGGTCAAGGCCACCCAGGGTATAAAACAAGGTACTCCGACTGGTGGACCCAGAAAACCCCCTGTCCCGCCCAAACCAAGGTTCACCCCAAGTGCCAAAAAGAAACTCAAGTTCACGACCCCGTTGAGCAGTGAAGAATTGGCGGAAGAGTTGCCCTTTTCAGAGGAGCCTGGAACAGCCCCGTGGGAAACCCCTAAAGAACGTGCAGACACCATTACGCGATCATTCAAGCGCGGGATTCGCAAAAGAGCCGCGGACAGTGCCAAAAAGAAAGCTGCAGGGATCGCCAAAAAGAAAGCCGCTGGTTGGGCCAAGAAAGCTTTGGATTGGAAATCGTGGAAAACCCCCTAAGATGGGACGGAAACGTCGTGCTCCACCCCGTTCCCGAGCGAGACGACGACGACGCTCGCAACGGGGCGGCAACTTATTTGATGTACAAAACCTTCTCAACAAGACCGGTATTGAATTTCATTGGCCCGGCTATCAGTACATGGGTCCTGGCACCCATTTAAAGAAACGATTGGCCCGTGGGGATCCCGGTATCAACCGGTTGGACAGGATTGCTAAAGCCCATGACATTGACTATGATAAAGCCAAGACTTTGAAAGACAAATGGGCAGCGGATCGTAAGATGATTGCCAAGATTGATCAACTCCCTGGCAGCAAAAACCTAACAGAGCGCATTGTGAGACGCATTATGAAAGCCAAACTCCGATTTGGCATGTAAAACCCCTCTTTTTAGTCATAAAAAAGACAACATGTTAAATGACACCATGGTTTAATAAACTTCATGTTTGTTTTTCTTACAAATACACTTGTATGTTCTGCAACGCCTCAGCGCGAAGGGTTTGCACCTTGTCCTCTTCAGGGACGGATTGTGACAAGTCCAAAGGCAACCACGGGAGGGGAAAGGGACGCTCTAATTCCTCGTCCAACCAGGACCATTCTCGGCGCCGAATGAGTTCCATCCGCTGCTGGTATCGTTGACTTTGCAGGGCTCTCCATCCCTCCTCACCCAATATACGCCTTTTCTCCGCCGCCATCTCCCTCCGCCGTGTATTCAAACGCTGTTTGTAAGCCTCGTACGTCCCCTCTTTTTTCATTCTTTGTATCCAATTTTTTTGGCACTGGTTGTTTTTGCGTTTCACTTCAGCCCGTTGCTCCTCCGTCATGCCATGATAGCGCCGCATCCCCTCCTCGGTCTTTTTGGCCTTGAAGGCCTCATACTCTCCACTGGCTTTCATACGAGCCATCCGCTCGTGGTAGCGTCGACGGTGGAGAGCCTTCACGTCCTCGATGCCATTCACGGCCGCGTACAAGCGCTGCCGATACTGCTTTTGTTGTTGTTTATTTTTCACAGGGTCCCGTTTTTTTCTGGGGGGCTGGCGCGATCCTGGCGTATCCATGATCCAGCTCCAATACACGCGAAGCACACACGTCTGCCAAGGCCCGCAATTTTCTAAAGGGACTGGGCGTCTGTCTGTTCTGGGCACGACGGTCCCGCTGCTGCTGGATAAGCCGGTCGCGGTGTCGATGATAATAATTACGGTTCAGCACCCGTACTTGGTCTCCGTGCGTGGCTCGGTACCGGTTACAGGCCAACCGGTTCAATTCTCGGGCTTTGGCAAGCTGTTCTGGGGTCGGGGGCGGTTTGGGCGGCTTGGGCGGTTTGAGCTTTTTCTTGGCCGCCCGCTGCTCTCGTTTCCGTTTCACAATCTCTTCTCGGTGTTTCAGGTACCACCGGTGTTTAGCCTCTTTCACTTTCTCTGGATCTCGATTAGGCATGTCTCGATGGCAATTGATGTCTGGTCTGGACGCTGGCCTATATCTAGAGGTCTCTCCACCAATCAGCGATCTCGACCCCAGGCTCAGAGGAGACTTGAGAAAAAATCTGTACCCATGGGGGGCACCCCCCTCAATCCTCCTCCTGTGCAATCAACCCCTCCCCATCCCTTACTTGACCCTCATCTGACTCTCACCTGACTCTCACCTGACTCTCACCTGAGCCACATCCACCAATCCCCGTTCGTTTGATCACGTGTTTTTGGGTCTATAAAAGCCAGCGTCTGGCGCGGGACATTCAAATTGGTTTCCTCCGTCATGGCGGAGGAGGACAGCTGGTATGATGTCAGTGACGAGGAGGAGGATGCTCTGTTAAACCGCGCCTATGACCGGTGGGAACAGTTGGGAGGGGCTGCTCCCGCCCGAGGCCCTCTCTTTCAATTTACCATGCAACCTATTGGTCGACGACGCCGCTGGCGCAATGTGGTGGAACGGGCGCAATTCAACGCGCAATTGCGTCAATTGAGGGATGCTGGTCCAGGGGACAATATTGGGATGGCGTTGACGGAAGCCTTACATCAAGCTATTGAAACGGAACTCGACCGTGAGCAGCGACCCGCCCATCATTTTGTGAACTTTGCCATTACAGCGCATGGATTCACCCATGCTTACCAAACCGCCAATTTTACCGTGGGGGAATTTTTACAGCGCACTGCTCGTTTGGATGAGATGTTGGCTACCCTGGCAGGAAAATTAAACAGCAATGAAGCCTTCAACCCCGATCGCGGGTTCCAAGTGGATGTGGTGTTTGTCTCCATGCCCGGCCCAGGGTCTGGTCGACATAAACAACGCAATGTGGGACGATTATGTCTGGATCGAGTCAACAAGAAAAAGCGATGCATTGTCACCATTCGAAACAGAGATGCCTTATGTTGTGCCCGCGCCATTGTCACCATGCGAGCCCATTGCCATAAAGATCAAGGCGTGGACGGGTTTCGCGACTGGGACAATCTCAAACGTGGGCTTCCTGTGCAGCAGCGTCAAGCCCAGGCCCTCCATCAGCAAGCAGGAGTCGCGGAGGGTCCCTGTGGTATACCCGAGCTTCGCCAATTTCAACACGCATTGGGATCTCACTACCAACTCTTGGTGATGACCCGGATGAAACCGTTCTTTTTGATTTTCAAAGGCCCCACCGCCCCTCATCAGATTCGTTTACTCAAATCCAATGATCATTTTGATGGTTGCACGTCCTTTCCTGCCTTTGTCAACCGTTCGTATTATTGCTTGGACTGTGAACGGGGGTTCAACACCGACGATCGGACCAATCATACTTGTCAAGGAAGACGCTGCTCTGCGTGTGGACGTTTTGATTGTCCGGATTATGTGCGTGGCACTCGCCCCACTGAGTATTGCTGTCTGTGTTACCGCAAGTTTTATGGCCATCAATGCAAACGTTATCATGAAATCAGCAAGCAATGTCAATCCATCAAAATCTGTCTCAAGTGTCAAGCCCAATACACGGTCGTCCGTAACCAACGTCACCGGTGCGGGTACGCCAAATGCCCTGCGTGTCAGGAATGGGTGTCCATCCAAAACCATCAATGTTACATTCAGCCTGTAAAGGATGAGCACGAGGAGACTGAACCGACAGAGGAGGGGGGAGGTAGCATGGTGGCGCCACCCCCTCCCCTGTTTGTTTACGCAGATTTTGAAGCCATGCAGAATGCAGAAGGCGTGTTTGTGGCTAATTTGTTATGTTATTCGTCGAGTGTAGACACCACTATTCATGTCTTGGACGGAGAGGACTGTGCCCTACAATTTTTGCGCGATTTGGATGATCTCACGGATGTTCCAGACTGTGAGGAGGAGCGAACGATACTCGTGGTGTTTCACAATCTAAAAGGGTTTGATGGCATGTTCATTCTCCATGAACTCTACCAGCAACAACGCGAGGTCGTGGATCAACTGACCGTGGGCGCCAAAGTCTTATCGTTCAGAAGTGGACCCATCAAATTCATTGACTCGTTATGCTTCTTGCCTATGCCGTTGGCCTCCTTTTCCAGTACCTTCAATTTAACCGAATTAAAGAAGGGGTTCTTTCCCCATTTGTTCAATACCCCCGATCACCAACAGTATGTGGGCCGCATCCCCGATTTGGAGTTTTACGATCCCGATGGCATGATGGCCAAAAAGAAAGAGGAACTGACTCGTTGGCATGCGGATCAAGTCCGTCGCAATGTCATGTTTAATTTCAAGCAAGAAATGATCGAGTATTGCAAATCCGATGTGGCTCTATTGAAAGCTGGGTGTGAAGCCTTTCAACAAGAATTTGAACAACAGGCAGGCTTCAATCCTATGGCCAAGTGCATCACCATCGCCAGTGCCTGCAATTTGTATTGGCGCAAGCATCATTTGACCCCTGACACCATTGCCGTGGAACCTCTCGGAGGGTGGCGAGGGGCCCAAGTCAACCATTCCCTCAAAGCCCTCCAATGGCTCTATTACCAAGAACATCTCCTTCCCAAAGAGGGGGCCAGTGCTGATCGCATACGTCACGTTCGTAATGGCGGCGAGCAGTCGGTCCGAACCAGCGTCGACAGTCATTTCGTCGATGGCTATGATCCTGTGACTCGCACCGTCTACGAGTTTCACGGATGTCTCTACCATGGTTGTCCCCGTTGTTATCCCGCGAGAAACGCCAAACATTATGCCACGCCGGATCGAACTGTAGAGGAACTCTATCAAGCCACGCTCTCCAAACGCACGGCCTTGCTCCGAGCGGGTTATACCGTCATTGAAATGTGGGAATGTGAATGGGACCAACTAGTGGACACGAATGAAGCTGTTCAACGTTTCTTGAATTCCTTCGATTTGGTGGCACCCCTGGAACCCCGTGAAGCCTTCTTTGGGGGTCGAACGGGTGCCGTGGCTCTGCATGCTGTGGTTGGAGAGGGGGAGGAAATACGCTATGTGGATGTGACCTCCCTGTACCCGTGGGTGAATAAGAACTGTCCCTATCCCATCGGGCATCCGCGGATCATCACACAGCCCGCTGACCAGTCCCTGGACTCCTATTTTGGTCTAGCCACCGTCGATATTCTTCCCCCTGCTGGTTTGTTCCATCCTGTTCTGCCTGTGCGTAGCGGCAACAAGCTCACCTTTCCTCTCTGTCGTGCCTGTGTTCAGACCGAGCAGGCCCAACCCATGTTGACCCGAACCCGTTATTGCCCTCATTCTGATACAGATCGTACACTACGCGGGACCTGGTGCACACCCGAGTTGCTCAAAGCCGTCGAAAAGGGGTACACGCTGATCAAGATTCACGAAGTCTGGCATTTTCCCCCTGAGCAACGCCGAACGGGTCTTTTTGCTGATTATGTGAACACGTGGCTCAAAATCAAACAAGAATCCGCGGGATGGCCCGGTTGGTGTCAGACTCTCGAGCAGAAACGCAACTACATTCTTCGTTACCAGGAACGGGAAGGCATCCGACTGGACATTGCCAGCATTGCCAAGAACCCCGGTCGCAAAGCCACGGCCAAGCTCATGCTGAACAGCTTCTGGGGTAAATTCGGGGAGCGGATCAATAAACCCACCACTGTCACTGTCCATGACCCCGCCCATTTGTTCAATCTCATCTCGGATGCCGCCCTCGAACTTAGTACACTCCGCCTTTGCACGGACGATATTCTGGAAGCCGTCTACACGAGTGTCCAAGACAATGCTGTCAAAGGCACCAAGACCAATATTTTCGTGGCAGCTTTCACTACCTGTCATGCTCGATTGAAACTCTACGAGTCCCTGGACACCCTTCAACAGCAAGTCCTTTACTACGATACAGACAGTGTCGTGTACAAGTGGCGTCCCGGTCAACCCTCTATCACCACTGGCGATTTTTTGGGGGATATGACGGATGAATTGGACGGCGACGTCATCACTGAGTTTGTTTCGGGGGGCGCCAAGAATTATGGGTACACGACACGACAGGGTAAAGTGGTATGCAAGGTACGCGGTTTCACGCTCAACGTCCGCGGGTCGGCCATTCTCAATTTTCAGACCATGAAAGACAACATTCTCTCCGAATTGGATTCGCCCCAGGAGTCTCGACGCAATTTGAACCTGACCAACCCTTATTATTTCAAACGAGATTTGGAACAGAAACAAATTCAAGTGGTTCCGCGCGTGAAGCAGTATGGGTTGGTGTTCGACAAGCGCGTTATTGATGTCGCCACCCGATCCAGTTATCCCTATGGCTACCAGAGGATTGGGAACGAACTCGATTTGCTATTAGATTTGTAATGGGCGTGACGTCAGTAGGGCGTCACACACGTCCCACTTGTATCCAGGGCTTTATGCGGTCATTAAAACTATGTCAAGAATGCAGATTCAACTCTTGTGTGCGTGTGTTCTTTATTCCTAGGGGGTCACGTGGGTTAAAACCTTGATTTGTGACGTCAAAAAGTCACATGGGCGAAATGCGCGATTCTGATTGGTCGAGACGAAATTTGCTGCGCTCTGATTGGTTACTCCCCAGGGTAGCCATTTGTACTACTAGTAAAAACCAGCAATTATTGATGCGAATTTACTGGGCATGTTTTTTAGAAAAGTGGGGAAATCAGGGTAAAAGACAGCTGTGCAAGGAAAAGAGTTGAATACAGGGTTTATCACCGAAGTACAGTGATTCGGGTTAAGCGCTGTTTTAAAAACGGTTAGCTTGCAATAATATAATAATCAATGCAATGGAGTCTATTTGTGTGTATTGGACAACCCTCAGGCTTTCTCAGTATTTTTAGTTCTTCGGAAAATGTGAGGCATTATCATGAAATTTCAAGGTAGCTGAATGCACAGTTTAATTTTTATTGCTTAGAAGTTTGCGCACGTACCACAACAGCATCACTTTAACAAATTACAGTACTGCAAACTGATCAAAGAGAATAAAACTGAAAACTAATGAGCAATGGAAAAAAAATAGTGGAAAAATTAATTATAGGATCCACATTTACAGCTAATCCTTATTAAGTTGGTAAAAATTATGAAAAAGCATCGCAACTATTTACTGAAAAAACTGTACCTTATAAAATCTATCTACAAAATCATATAACGGCTGGTTTGAAATGACCAATTGAAGTTCCTGTTACAAATTCTTCGGTGAGGAGTTCCATTCTAGCATTCGTCAATAGACTGCTCGCATTCTGTTGTTATATGCAGTTGCTTCTTAATTCATTTCTGCCAGGTAGACACTACAAGTGTTGGTGTTTCCGCCAGTGCACTCGCAGTGGCATGATAAAATAACTCCATCAGGGCAATTTATTTTTTCGGTAAAACCTTGGTAACGATGGTTGTCCATGTAATCCCACACCTTCATTCCACCAGTCCCCACTCCAAGCTTGTTGACTCCTACAGATGGATTGGAGAAAGCAATAGTGACCTTGGTGTTGTTCATCTTATAGGTAACGTACCCTGAACATCCTGCCATTGACCAGTCTCTTTCGTAGTTGAGGACCTTTTGATGCTCGCCTGCGTTAATTGTTTTCGGCCACCTGAAACCATCCGCGAGTCGTCCGCTGTCGTACCATTCTTCCATATACGACATAGAAAATTGCGTCTTGTTAGTGATATCCACAAGGCAATTGTGTTCCTTCACCATTATGTACCTACAAAGTTTAAAAGCTTATTAGCCTGGGAAAACAGCCGACATTTGGCCACGCCACCACTAGTTTTCCCAAAAAAAGCCTTGTGACAAACAAGCGCAGAAACTCCATACCGATGACGCGTCCACTACCCAAATCTGGGTAGTGCCTCTAATTGGTTGAAGCAAATTTCCCACGAGGCACGACTAATCAGAAGCTTTACCCAGATCTGAGCAGTGACGCGTCGTCAGTATGGAATTTCTGCACTCTTTTGTCAGACGCCATTTCGCGAGAAAACCAGTAGTAGCGTCGCAATGTCGGCTGTTTTCTCAGGCCAAAGAGCTATGTGTCTTAGCTTTATTGTCGGAAACATCTGATTCTTTGTAACCAAGCCAACAGTATAAGTGAGTGGCTAGAGTATTTATGGAAAGGAAAGGATCGGATGAAAAGAGGAGGTGAGCTGATGGTATACTTCTCTTCAAGTCTCCCATCAAAGAGCCTGAACTTGCCCCAAAAATCCACAATCTTTGAGGCATTATGTTTGGAATCAAAGTTCGTGAATGACACGAAGTCGTCGTTTTGGGGCTATATCGACCTACGTAAGCAAACGGTACCGGAGAATTACTTTTTGAGGATCCTTAAAGGGGCAATTTGTCGTGATCACTGGCGACTTAAACAGGGAAAGGTTTTAAAGAGAGGAAAAAGGAGGAAAGGTCCTATGTGATCTTGAGCGGATACACAACCTAGAAAATCTTATCAGGACACCATCAACAGTGACCACAACCAGCCAAACGCTGGTGCAAGTTTTAATGACGAACAGACCTGAGCTGTTTATGAGTGTGGTGCCCGCACCTAATTAAAAGGGACTTAAACATTGTAATTTTTTTTTGGTAATTTGTTTACCCACGCATCACTAAGGAGTTCATAAGAATTCGTTGAAACGCGTCCGCGCGTCCCAGATCGAATTGGAATTTGAAAGTGTTGGTTTTTTTTTTAAGGAGAGGAGAAAACCAGAGAACCAGGAGAAAAACCTCTCGGAGCAAGGGAGAGAACCAACAACAAACTCAACCCACACATGGCGTCGACGCCAGGATTCGAACCCGGGCCACATTGGTGGGAGGCGAGTGCTCTCACCACTGCGCCACCCTTGCTAACCATGTTGGAGAAAGTGCAACGTAGAGCATCCAAATGTGCCCTTGAAAACTTTGGGCGTGACTTGTCCAACAAAGAACGCCTTATGGTCAAAAAATGGCCAACGCTTCAACAAAGATTATTCTCCTCGCTCACTGACTGTTATAAGACAATAAACAGTCTGAATGGACTAGATCCATCAAAATTTTTTACGTTTTCGCGTGACTTTCGACCTTTAAGGGCTAACCACCGTTTTAAACTTAAGTCTTTGTCCGCAACTTTAAATAGTTTTAAACATTTTTTTTTATTCGCATAATTGATGAATGGAATGATTTACCTAAAGAAATCGCTAAAGCGGAGAACTTGAACCTTTTTAAGAGTAAACACAGACGTTATTTTACCCGTGTTTCAGCCGAATGTTAAATTATCTAGACATGTCCAGCGGTAAAATATTTTTGTATTTTAAACAGAATGTACATAGATTATTTTTATTTTATTTAATTCATATGTATATTCATTGTTATTGTTATTGTACTTTTATTTTTTTGTTTGTTTGTGGAGCTGTACCAGACAGGGTTAACCTCTCCATCTCCTTTTCCTTTGTGGATAAACAGTTATTATTATTGTTTTTACGATCCTGGTATAAGTGATCACTCGATGGTCTATGGAGTCATGAAAGAGGAAACCTTTTACCATCTCTGATTCAAGTAAAATTTCACATGACGTCACTAAAATTCAAACTAAAAAAATACCAATCCTACCGGGATTTTAGTTTCACGATGCATTAGAGCAGCTGAAAACTAGTTTTCATACAAATTTACGCTTCAAACGGGTTCTTGGCTATGTGATAGAGTACGCTTGAATTTCTAAGCTTTTGCGTGACGCGGCATTTACACGACGGCCAAGAGAGCTGTCATGTAGGTTAAAAAAATGACTTATTTCAGGAAATTTTGCTATTTAAACAGTTCATGTATTAGAAAAAGTACTAGTTTAATGTTTATGAGGTTCTCGAAGAATAAATTCACGCTTTTGTAGCAAAACTCGGTAACAGATGTTTCTGTTGGTTTCCGTCCGCCATGTTGGAGCTCATCCAGGTGAGCACCAGCATGGCGTCTCCAGTACAAATCTCTGTAAGTTTGGGTAAAACATTTCTTCGGATATCTCGTATACGAAATATTCCTCTGACCTGAATCTTGGCGAGGGTCTTTGTATATGTACCTCCTTTCATTTCCCAGATTCTGGACTTTATCTATTGAACTGTTTTGATTTTTATTTTGATCTATTTTGAATGGCGTGACACTGAAAACCAGCAATACTGTTAGAGGTTATAAGAACATATAAGATGAAGACAGTTTATACTGAGGGACATAAGTTGTGCTTGATGGAATGTGGGTGAAATATTTGACTCAACCGACGATCAGTATTTTTATTGGAATGCATTAATAAAGGCCCATGATCGTATCTTATTGCTACAATGTAGCTGACCCGGTTACTATGCAAGTGGAAATTGACTTCCGGTTTTCGTATTTCGCGCGTTTTTCGATTGCCTGTCGCGCGAGATAAGTTTTTGTGTATAAGGGGTATCCTTTTCTGTTACGCTCCTGAATTTTACTGTCTAATTCCAGTGTCAGAAAAAACTGAAAGGAATAATCATGAACAGGATTAATCTTATTTATACCGAAACGTTCGTCCATAGTGAGTCAGCCAGGAAACTCATGATGCGTTTAATTCATCTCCCCACGCTGTTCTTGCTGCAGTATCGATAGTTAAGTAACATGAGCTTTGATAGTTTCTTCGCAGAATGGTAGTCAATCGTCAAGTTGAAGGCTTTTTCACTTCTATTTTATTTAATAAGAGTTGTCAAGATCGAGAGAAGGTGAGTTTTTTCGTTGAAAATGACCAGGCCGACGAGTTTAATTAAAACATTTTGTTGTGAAGTATTTTCTAGGTTGTTTTGAAGATTTGCGACTATATTTGACCTCAGGTTGTTCCCCACATCACAGTTCCTGTTTTGGTTTAAGATACAGCTTTGTGGGTTTGGTTGACAAGTTTTCATTGGTTTTCTAAAAATGTTTTCCAACTTTCTTGTTGCAGTGAGCAGAGAGGCCTTGTGCCTCGGTTTCATGTCGTAAAAACACAACATATAATGTCTCAGATGGCAAGACAAGACAATGTTTTATTTGGAGTCTTATACAGTCCTATGCATATCGACTTTATCCAAATAATTTAAAGTTATAACACAAATTGCACACTAGTGGAACTATAATCAATGTTAACCTAAACAACTAATGATCTTCTTTTCTCATAGCAGTCGAATACGTATTTTGCAATTAACTTTTGCACTGGCAGGAACGCCCCCTCCCCAATAGCGGAAGAAATGACACATTAATCAGTCGCATTAAGCATAAAACCATTTATTTCTTTCAGAAACAAATTTCCTTTACTTGCACCTTATAGGTTCACCCACGTTGGTGATCAAGTTAATTCAAGTCGCCATACTAGGAATTGCGTTCGCAGGGGGCGGATGTACGGAGGGGG